CATGTTTTAGCGGAGAAGAATAGAATTTTAAACACAATGGCTCGTGGCGTAATAGGAGAACCTTATCTCAAGGAATTACTCTCTCATCTTCTCGACGAAAATTCTTTACATAAAATTACTGAATCTGCATGGAAGAAAATTTGGAGAACATTTTTACGTATCGGCAATGCAAGTGCAGGACTGATTGGATTATATTTCTGCATAAGAACAATGAAGTTAATAAGACACATTAATTCATGGTTATGCACTTCACACAATTTATGATTGGTCAGTATATCTCATCGGAGTGCTTTGGGACTCAGTTACAAATTTATTATTACATCTGGCCAAACGAAAACTACAAGAAGAAAGAAAATCAGAAGAAAGAAGACTAGAAGAAGGAAATCGACAAATGAATGTACAACAAGAAATAACACAAATACCTGCAACAAACACAAATTGAAATAGAAAATGAAAATTCAAGTCAAACTTTTATCCACAATGAAGCTCAAACCTTGTACCCGCGATTGTAATAGTAAGAAGAAAAGGACCGAAGGACCGCACGAAAGGCGAATCCTATATCGATTGGTCAAAACATAAACAAAATATGTTATCAATAATATAATAATATTATCGATAAATTAAGATAACACTCAAGAGCAAATTCTTACGGAAGAAATTATAATCACTAGAACATATGGAACAAACTTGGAGCTGGAAAAAACTTTGATTGAAATAAAAATAACTACCTTCTCATAGCAAAAAATAAATAAATAAATAAACAAAACAAAACTAACAAAAAAAGAAAAAAAAAGGAAAAAGTGGAGCATATTTCGCATGTTTTGTATATTTCGCATTTTATTAACATAATAAAAATTATTAGTATAATTAATATATCTTATAAATATATGTTCATTTAAAAATAAAAAAAGAACAATAAATAATAATAATAATAATAAAAATAATAAAATATATAAAATAATAATAATAATAAATATATATAATAATAATAAATAGTTAATTTTTGCGTTATTAATATAGAAATAAGAAAATTTTGTACCAGGATTAACTAGTATTATTCATACGGTACTATGACTTAAGGGGGGAAAGTGTCACGATTATCTTATAACTTTAAATGAAAGAATGCGTGCTGTATGATAAAAATATTGATTTATTGATGTATTGATTGAATTCCTATTGGTAGCAGATTACGCCTGTTGTCAACGGAGATTCGGATGACACCTCTGAGAAAGAATCTTTCCCTTCTTAATTATGCGTTCGGAAATAGGAAATGAGAAGCTCAAGCGAGGGGTTCACATTATTTCTATCTATAAATATGAGTGCGGAGAAAGCGCTTTAATTCCAGTTTCAATTAGAGTTTTATTCTCGTTTTGTTTGGGGCGCAGTTATTGTTAAAGTCAAAGAATATTTCAGTCACGGTCATAAGTCTGGTGTAATTATTGTCATTATCCTTGTTATAAGTAAAAACCTTAGGGTTGAATTTTTAAATTTATAACAAATTGCTGTTTGTAATAATTCTCTTAGGAGAATTTAAATCTATCTAATTTAAAACCCTCTTTAACTTAATAAAGGTAATTTTAAATTCGAACAAATAGTAAAATTGAAATCTTATTCTTCTTTCTTAAATATCTCTTGACCTGAAATCAAGAAAATAATTCTAAATCCAAATTCGATCGTTGACAAAAGCGTAGCGTACCAGTTAGTTGCAGCCAATGATGTTGTAACTAAATCATTTGAATTTAGAGTTTTAATAATAAATAATTAATTTCCAAAAGCATTCATGCCCAAAAGAGGGAGGCGCAGAATTCAAATAAAAAGATTGAGATTTCAATTAAATTAAACGATAATTTCGAATAAAGATCTCTTTCCATATTATTCCTAATATTATTCCATATTATTCCTAATATTATTCCATATTATTCCTAAAATTTAAAGAATTGGAAAGACAACTTAAAATTAAAGTAATCAAACAAATTCCTAAATATAAATTGAATAAAATTGATTTTGAAATAAATTATCCAAATTACAATCGAATTAATAGAAAAGAGCTGCATACAAAATTTATAAAATTCGTTATCTATTTGAGGTTGATTAAATCACAAATCACGGTCCAATTCAAGAGTACTTAAATATATTAATCCAAAAACGGACATTCAGAACATAACACAGATAACAATCGTAGTTTTTCATTGTGCATTGAATATCAGTAACATTAAAATTTTAACTTGGACCTGATAGCAAATTTACTTACCTCAAGTAACATACCGCTTTGATCAAAATATTCTGCAACTGGCATAACGTTCCTGTAAAAGTTATGCAACTCCATTCTAGCTAATCCAATAATAACATGGCCAAGTTGCGCGCCGAAATCAATTTGTCTCTCCAGCACTTCTTGTCTCCACGATACAAGAATGACACCATTAACGATTTTTATCTACAAAAATTTTATATACATCGCTCTTTAGATTGATAATTTATTATTTAGAATATTACATATGTAATATTTTGAATTGTATTGAAAAACAATTCAATAATTTGATGAATAAATAAATTATATTAAAAAAATGAGGAATATTTACTTTTTCTGCATATTCTACTACATCGCGCATATTTCGTGGATATCCGCTTACAAGAAAAACTTTCGCTTCTGGAGACATTTTCATTTCAAGCATGAGTACTTCTGTAACAGTCTTGCTACTAAGTTGTCCAAAATCTTGCATATCTATATAAAAATGGTTAAAATATATAACAACATTGCAAAAATTTCTTATTTATAAGTATTATTATTTCGATTAAAAAGTTTAAGACGTAATTTATATATTCTTATAAATTCTGTTATATAAATTAAAACAAAAAACTCAAAAATTAAAATAAATAATTAGTCATCAATAAACTCTCTAAATGATAAAACAATTAATACAAAGTAAACGGCTAATAAGAATCAATTGCGGATATTAGTGCGTATCATTTTAAGAATAATCAAATACATATTGTTCAAATAATAATTAACGAACATTTCGGCTCATTTTTTGAGCCATTTTTAGCGCAAATTAAAGTTCTTAGGAAAGTTATAGGAAAACAATCACAAAAACAGGTATTGATGGCAATCAGTTAAATTGTGGTTCCTTGGTAATATCCAATGTTCTCAAACAAATCGTCCAAGAACCCAGTTGCATGACCGGATGAAACTTTGATGGATATGCAAAGGATCTGCGAAATTTTGATGAAAATTTACAATATAAAACAAGACGCGTAACAACGACATTAAGCAGGAAACACATCGGAACTTACCACAAAACCGCATCACACTGAGAGCAAAGAAAAGTCGAGATATCAATAATATATGAATGCAACGAAGGTTGAAATATAAAATGTTCATTAAAAGTCAATAAATAATTATAATATATGTAAATAATTATATATTCAAAAGACGGTCCAAACTTTAAAACGTGTAAGTAAACAAGTATAAAATAAAAAGAGAAAAATATAAAAGAATAAGAGTAACTGTCAAATCAGCGGCCAGGAGTGGAACAAAGCTTACAGTGGAAAACAATGTAGATAACAATAACCAAAAACAAGAAGAATAATAATGTAATGTTATTATTAATTGTTTAGAAAAATAAATGCATAATCCAACAATTCGGTGCCTGTTTTTAAATTTAAACCGTTCTTTTTATGTGTATCATCTCAGATATCATTCGCTTATTATACGATCTTTCTGCATCCAGAATCTCAATACCATCTCAATCAAATTTATGATAACAATCTATGTTCCGTGATTACGGAATAGGTAGAAGAATAACGAATAACGTGATTACGATGTTCGGACATTCTAGTATTTAATAGTCGTCCTATCTGACCAATATAAGATGCATCGTAATTTTATTAGACAATTAATTTTGTAAACAATGTTGCTTTTTTGTGAATTTGACAAAGGATTTTTGTGTGACAAAGAACTTTGACAATGTCCCGGAGTTTATTCGTATTGTAAAATTTTAACTCAGAATTTTTAAAGATATTAAATTTTTCTGAGATAGAAATATAAGGAATGGTAAACCAAACAAGTTGATCATTTTTGTCTGTAGTCAATATATCATGATTCGATTCATGTATCTGTTGTATTTTTTTAATCGTTTATTAATGTTATGAAAAATAAAATTCTTTGAAATCATTATCAAGTAAAGTATTGATGAAGGTTCTTTTTCTAAAATTGTGGATACGAGAGTAAATCTTGTCAATTATAAAATTATGTCTCTCTTTTGGAAGATGGAGTGTTGCGACAAAAAATTTAAGAAGCTACCAGAAAAAGTTGGTTTCTGATACCAATCACAAATAATTAAGTTATTTCTATATAATTAAAGAGACATCTAAGAAATTGATTTTATCTCCTCCAATCTCTATTGTAAATTGTAGTCTGTGGTGGAACCCGTTAAAATAATCTAAAATCTGTTTGGTGGCAGAAGATGGAATCGCATAAGAATGTCGTCAACGTATCTAAAATAAAATGATACCCGAAAGGAGATTGTCGCAAGTATCCCACCTTCCAATTCCTGCATGACTAAGTCAGCAATTATTGATGAGAGAGGAGAACTCATCGGCATGCCGAAATTCTGTTTATAAATTACGTTGTCAAAGGTAAAGAAAAATGTAGAATCTAAGAAACAGCAAACCCAAAAATTTGTCTTCAAAAATATCACAATTATTAGAAATAAAGTGCCATCTTTATAACAAGCATTGTATGGCCAAATCAGTAGGAACGTTGATGAAGAGAGAAATGACATCTAAAGATATCGAAGAGAGATCGTTGTCAATAGATGTTCCCTGTAGGATTTTGACCAATTCAAAGCTACTAAGAATATAGCTAAGAGCTTTAGGTAAATTCTTAGAGATGGAAGTATTAGAATTTAGCATGTTTAAGATAAAAATGGAAAGATTTCTAATTTTCTTTGTGTTCTAGCAGAGTCAGGAAGTTTTTTAATATTACTCTCTATGCATTTCATGAATTCGAAAATGGTTCTTTTTCTGCTCTTGTTGACAAGAGGTAAAGAGAAATTTTCTCCCAGTTGTAACAGGACATTGGATGTTGTTCGGAATAGGAGACGAGGATAAATTGATAAGCCACTGGGAATTAGAAGAAAAAAATTGAAAAAGGAGAGGTAATGCTACTGAATTCATGAGAATTCAATGTAACAGCGATAACATTATCTGGATAACTCCAGTAGAAACGATCAATTATCATTAGTTGAATTATCTCTGATTAACGAAGTTTATATTATGACAAATTGTGGATAGAGATTCTCCTCATGTAATAAAAATATTATATCTTTCTCGTCTTACTTTCTATGGGGTTAACACCCCATTTCTCAAAAGAGAAGCATAATCTTGAATATAGTGGACAAGATTTTTTTACTCTCGCATCCAGAATTTCATAAAATGAACCTAAGTTCATTATCAACACTTTATTTGACAGTTACTATCCGAAGAACTTTATTTTTGATAACATTAATAAATGATTAAAAAATCTAATACACAAATAGAATCGAGTCATGATACAACGACTAAAGAAAAAAATGATAAAACTGTTTGGTTTACCATTCCTTATATTTCTAATATCTCAGAAAAATTTAATAATATCTTTAAAAATTCTGAGATAACATTTTACAATATGAATAAATTCCGGGACATTGTCAAAGTACAGAAAAATTCTTTGTCAAATTTACAAAAAAGCAACATTGTTTACAAAATTAATTGTCTAAATTACGATGCATCTTATGTTAGTCATATAGGTCGACTTAAATACTAGAGTGTCCGAACATCGTAATCACATTACTCGTTATTCTTCTACTCACAAAACATAGATTGTTATCGGGACATGAATTTGATTGGGATGGTATTGATATTCTGGATGCAGAAAAATCATATAATAAGCGGATAATATCTGAGATGATACACATAAAAAGACAAAAAAATGATCTAAATTTAAAAACAGATACCGAATTGTTGAATTATGCATACTTTGTTTTTCTAAACAATTAATAATATTACATTATTATTCTTCTTGTTTTTGATTATTGTTATCTACATTGTTTTCCACTGTAACTTTGTCATTTCACTTGGCCGCAGACAGTTACTCTTATTCTCCTATATTTCTCTCTTTTTATTTTATACTTTTTTGTACATGTTTTAAAGTTTGGGTCTTTTGACTAAATAGTCATTTATACGACTTTTAATGAACATTTTATATTTCAACCTTCGTTGAATTCATATATTATTGACATCTCAACTTTTCTCTGCATTGTAATGTGGTTCTGTGGTAAGTTCCGGTGTGTTTCCTGCTTAAGGTCCTTGTTACGCGACTTGTTTTATATTCTAAATATCATCAAAATTTCGCAGATCCATTACATACTTAACGAAGTTTCATCCAGTCATGCAACTGGATCCTTGGATGATGATTTGTTTGGGAATATACGTTGGGTATGTTGTAGCCAGGTCTACAACCAATAATAAAAGTAGTCCGCATGGCAACAAAATTAGGTCGCATGAACCTCGAAAAGTCTTTCGAAAGATTACACAAATGTGTGACCGCCGAAATCGCGACCAGTCTTTCGAAAGACCGCAGAAATGCATCGCGAGAACATTGCGAAAAAGCTGATCAGCAAATGCCTAAATTTGATGATCAAACCGAGCGTAATATTGATTAATCAATATCACGCAACCGATCGACGCAATCGATCAGAATGCTGACCGGGCATCGATCAGACTATATAACCGGTTACACAAGGCGGAATAGATAAAGTCGGGAAACAATCAAACATATCGTGTCGTTCGGAATCGTTATTATAATTATCGCGCAAGATATTACACGAGCACAGCGAAGTTCACGCGAGCCGTACTATCAACGTCTCAGGTGACATATTCGGTCGACGGCCGCCAGAGTAACACGATACGCGCCCGCCGACGTTTAACCGTGTGTGAAAGAAATAAAATAAGAAATACTAAATCCAAGAAATTGTGCAATTGTTAAATAAACCAAGTAACATAAATAAAGTGTGTTAGTGATTTCAAGAAGATTTCCTTCCATTCTTTTGATCCTGCTCGGAGTCCCAACTCCTTAGGCTTAACGAACCCGACTATCTCTAAAATTAACGTTGTAGCCCATCCGGGGTACAACAGGTATTACCAAGAAATCACAATTTGACTGATTAATTAATATCATCAATATTTGTTTTTGTGTTGTTTTTATGGCTGTTTTCTTATAACTTTTCTAAGAATATTAATTTGCGCTGAAGATAGCTTAAAAAATGAGCCGAAACATTCGTTAATTGTTATTTGAACAACATATGTATTTGGGTTGAACGTTATTAAAATGATACGCACTAATATCCGCACTTGACTCTTATTAGCCATTTATTTTGTATTAATTGTTCTATTATATAATTTATATCAATGATTGAATTCTTGACAATTGCAATTCTTTAACGACTTTTGTCAATTATAATTTTTTTGTTGATGTCTAATAAATTAAAACTTATTTAAAATAAATAAAGGATCCCGCAAGTTAATTTATTAGTAGACATCAATAAAAAAATGATAATTGACAAAAGTCGTTAAAGAATTGCAATTGTCAAGAATTCAATCATTGAAGAAATAAAACTATGCGGGTTTCTCTGTGAAATTAACTGAAACTTTAGTATATAGTTATAGTTCATTACTTACTGATCA